ATTGTTTCTATATAAGAACCAGTTCTTCGCGCTTGCGTATTATATTTGCAATTACCTTCATACAACTTTGTATTACTTTTATAACTCTTTACATTATACTGTAGTCTGATGTAGTTAATAGTGTGCTATTCTTTAGCTTATACAGGGTGGTTTAATAATACGTGCATTTTAAACCAAACATTTTATTACCATATAGTAAGATACGGTGAGGCGTGTTTGTTGCCGGTTCAAGTACTGCCTGCATTATTTTTACTACATATTTAAGTATCTGATATCAAATATATATATTAAGTATTATCAACTCGAAAACAATCAATTGTTCGGTCAGCTAGGGCGTGTAAAGAAAACTGATTAGTGGAAGGAACTTATAAACGTATTCGCCTCCTGTGACCGGGGAGGGGGGGGGGCTGTAAGGGAATTTTATTTTTGACTTTTTCTGTTAAGTCAGTTGTTCAAGGTAGTCTATTAGACTAATTTATTCTCGTCGGTTTTTATCATCAAAGTAATCGATATACATATTACGGCAATATTCCAACGTTTCTTTTTTACCGTGTTCGTTTTAAATAATATGGAAGTAATAATTAACATGTTTGGATCTTAACGAATACCAAGAACGGTTAAAATTTACAAAAAAACACGTTATTCCTAAAGACGACGTTAATAATCATAGATGCATACTGAAGGTGAATGATGGCTTATTCCCTTTATGGTATCCCTTGGTCATTCTACTTACGGGCAATAAAAGTGAACCATTATTGCGCTTGCGCAATTACATTGAACCTACAAACGTAAGATCGTTCCTTGCTCGTAACAAGCTTAAAATTAATTACGTCGCCGCGAAATTGTGCTTTTGATTATCTACTGTGAAATATCATGGATTTCATGCTTCTGGGACGCGATAAAAAGCAAATAAACAAGCTTTTTTATTTAAATAAAATACTTTAACGGGTTAAAACGCGAAATATAATGTAAAACTAGCTTACATTATTTTTAATTACCGCTCAACGTATCGAATGCTTTGCAGCAACCGTGGCCACAGGGAATTAAAAATAATTTGTAAACAAGATTAACTAATATATTTCGCGTTTGAAACTGTAATAGAACTTTTAAATAAATCACTTCAACGGCTTAAAACGCGAAATATATAAAATAAACTTTTTTAAAAACTTTATTTCTAACTACGTCCCGACGATTCGGGTGGTATGCAGCAGCCGTTTATAACCAAGTTTAACTAATTTATTTCGAGTTTTAAACCGTTGGAGTATTTTATTTAAATGTACTGCACGCGTAAACTACAGACAGTATTTAAATAAAGAAGCTGTTAAAATGTTACGTTTTTTTACGCTGCGGTTAAGTTAGCGTTTGTGGTTCTAATCTTTTAAACACATAAGTGATATAATTAAGTCCATTTCTATCGGTTCTAGTTTAAAATAATGGCCGGTAATTTGATCGTTTGTCGAGGACAATCGATATTCGATCGATAAATTCCATATAATGATGGGGATATAGGATGTTTCATTTCTTTAAATGTCCGATCAGTGGATGCCTAATAACGGTTATGATATTAAGCGAGGGGCTTTTTTGGGCCGCGGGCGCTTTACTTTTTTAATTTGGCAATTTTAGCGTTTAGAAGCAAATATTTATCTGAAATCTTAGCAGAAACGGAAGTAGGTAGATAAGGATTTTGTGTTAAGAAAGTCAGACGATGTTTGAAGTTCACTGGATGGAAAGCGAAAATACTCTAACCATATCTAAACACAATGCAAAACGCATTGTCGACTTACTTTGGCTTGACCCACAAAAATGAATAATTTTCCCTGTTTTCTCTACATTTCCCGCCGTTTCTTCGACTCAATTAGTCACAGGGCGTTTTAAAGCCTTTCTCGATAAATGCTCGAACCAACACAAAAATAATTTTTCAATTCGAACCACTACTTCCTGAGATGAGCGCATTCAAACAAACAAACTCTTCAGTTTTATATATTAGTAATATTCAAATATTACTGTACCTTAGTAACAAGGCATTTGTACGGTACAGCTGTACATTTTTAATTTAAGCTGTACTCGGTATAAAATGTTTATAAGCTGTGTTAAAGCTTTGATTGCGATAAATTACTAAGTTGCTTAAATTGTAACAAGCAGCTGACCGTTCTCGTAATTAGACAGAGATAGAAAAACACAAACACGAGAAGTAAGAACGAGATGTCGGGAGGGGTTGATGTAACCGCAGGTTATTACGAGATTTAACACGTATTTAGTTAATTACTAAGTGTGGTTGACCGGTGCGGTCTGGGTATACTTTGTGTCCGGGGACTTGTAAATATGACTGGTTGTACTGACCCCGTTGTGGTTACAAATGATACCATCGGCAAATAATTCATTTAAGCTCAAAATACAAAATGAATAGCGATTCTATTAGAAGTTAAGCTAAAGCTGGAAGTGTCGTATTGTTAAGACGGTCTGTAGCTCAATTTATTTAATTTCCTAGCGTCACTTTAAACAAGAGGTCTTAAGTTCGAAGCTCGGAGAAAAATAGAGGTAACGGAATATCACACGCACGTAAGTCCTGTAGGTACCTACACTGCTTTCACATAATAATCGATAAAATATGTTGTGCGATCTTATTACCTAATTTGAATTTAATTAATTTGTCATAATTAAAAAAAAACGGGGGTTATGACTAAACCTCACGTGACCCCGGCTATAGCAAAGCACCGTAACGTCGGCTTAGGTTATATAAATGCAAAACAAGTTAACTAATATATTTCGCGTTTTAAACGTTAAAAGCGTTATTACGCGTATATTATTTGTACCGTATTTAAATCTGTACTACTCGCGTAAACTACAGACAATACTTTATTCGTTTAAATTAATTATAAGCTATATTAAGATATAGCATTATTTTAATATGCAAACGTTTTAAGCACGGTTCCAGTTATATTAGGTTTGTTTTGGTTCGTTTAATGTAATAAAACAAAACTATACGCATCAAACTTAAGTCAAACAATACATTTACGGTGTATGGCTGAGAAGATAAGTGAGGCGGGAAACTAAGTAAATAAACCTGCCCAATTAATTCAGGGTCCATTGGTCATGATGTTTGTTTCTACGAAATGGTTGGAGCTCGCGATTTGTAGATTAACATTTAAATCTTATTAATACACTAGCTTTACCCGCGACTCTGTCCGCTTGAAATAGTTATTTTGGGCATCATATTATTTTTTTTTGAACCTTTTCAGTTAAATAAATGATAGCTATTACCCAAGATAATATATAGACGGTAAACTAAGTTATTATTAAATTACTTTAAAAAATATTAAATATATCGCTATTCGTAGGTTCGAGTTCTGATTGTTACTTTAAAATATCATTAAAAAGCAAATAATAGGCATTTTCCACAAAATTGGCAAATGTCGAGGATAACGGTAAAGAAACTTTTCTGAGTCTGTTTCACTTGATTAAACTCCTGGAACTGATCTGATCCAAACTACTTAGGTATCATACTTTAAGATTCGAAAATCTATAATGCTAAGTTATAATAACAGGCCTGCGCCAGTTAAAGTGTAGTCATGCACAGTGATAAGTACATGAATGAACTTATCAGTGTTCTTTAAGTAAACCACACTATCTAATGCATTTTTAACGTAAAACAAATATCACGAGATTATATTAAACCTCATAGCGTTAGATTCAATTTTGTGACAAGGTTATTACATTACAAATACCGTTCGCTAATCGCAAAACAAAGCGGAACACATATTTAATACTCAGCAATCCCGAATCCTTTGTAGAACAATGGAAAAGGTTATTTTCCTTTACAGCCCAACCGTTAATTCGTGTTTAATTCGACACCTTGTTAATTGTTTCCTACACCCCGGTCCGTTTGGTGACCTCGGGGTGGGACTGGCGACTGTGCCCGAAAGATCACCCTGTAGACCTCCACTGGGGGGGGGGGGTCATTTTAAGAATATTTGCGAACCACCCTCTATGTTTACACGGGCTGTTTGTGGTACAGAAAACAATAGTCTCGAAATTCATTGCTCATTTTATTATTGTTGATACACCGTTTTACGGCCGATTCGATTATTGGAACGAGTAATTAAATGATAATACTGGGTATTAATTGGATTTTACCTGAGCGGGTACGTGATTACTTTCGAGAGATATTTATTACGGGTATTCAATATTGTTCTATATTTGAATATTTCAAAGTAGTCGTTCGTTTGTTGTTCAGTGCTGTGGTATGTACTTAGTCGACATCGTGAATCGGGGTCTCGATTCTTACATTTTTTTTGTTAGTGTTATAGTGTATTTTTTCTAACTTGGCATTTTTGATAAACAAACACACAATGTACATAAAATCGTGATTTCCTCACACGGTTTCCATTGATTTACACTGAAAACACTTTGAGACACTGAACTATATGTCAAATTAACGAAGTGCCTTAAAATCACTTTGTAAAATCCTAAATTTTAAGCTACAATTCGTAAAAATACCAAAAAAAATGTATTTTCGTAAATTCACATAATGCATTTTCTTTACTTTGACATTTGTGTAAGCAAAGTCAACGACAATGGAGGGTAAAGGCACTCATGCAAGAATCGTTGCAAAGCGTTACAAACATAGAGTTTAATCATATTATTAACATAAAAAAAATCAAAAAACAGTCGTCAATATGTTTTAGTATCGAGGCGTTTGGTCCATATATATATTTCTAGATAAAAAAGGGCATCACTAAATCGCTATGGTTTGAAATCGGTCATAAAAAATACACTAAAAATTATTTGACGCGTAATTGTTGCAGAAAAGTAATCTAACGAGTTCGTACAACATAACTCTTTGTGTTATTACCAACTTCTAACGATACGACTAAATAAATCATCGCCTTTGCAAATGGCTAGAGTAATAAAAAAGAATTTTATTGATAAAAACAAATAACAGACGTTTTAAATAAACTTAAGTCTATAAGACCTGATATAACCCAAGTTGTCTTTTACAGAAATGGCCCGAATGGAGAAGTCTCCGCTGCTTGCGAATGGTTACAACGCGCCCCCCACTCACTTGGGGCCCATGGGCTTTATGCACCAACACGCTCTAATGTCACCCGGTATGCCACATCACGGAGTACCCCGGCCTGACGGCTCCATCATCAAGGGACAGCCGATGCACAACATGGAAGCACTCGCGAGGTAGGAATTTCTTAACATAAGCATGGATAATCCAGCTATATCCACGTTAAGCTGGATAAGCAATTGTTTAATACTCCCACAGACTTAATAAAGAAATCTATATACCAGACCGATGTGAAATGTATGAGCAATTGAATTGCGGTACAATTTTAGAACATTAACGTACTTTTCGGGACGCCCGACCGAATATATAAATTGAACTAATGCTAAATTATTTAATATTTAAATCAGTGGCCAAACATAAGCGCTTTATAACACATTAAATATGCCTCAAAACGGTTTACTCTGCTATACGTTTAAGAAACTTAATGAGTAACCAAATGTATTAGAAAAAGTTTACATCTCAATTGTATTAATCGTAAAAAAGCTTTACTACTCCCTCCCATGTTTGGCTCCAAACAGTTTTTTATTTCTTATCCATTTTCATCTTAATATCTTGGCGGGTTATTCCGTTACGCTTTCTTAATCCGATCATCTCCCATTCTTTCCAAATGCCACCCAGCGGAGTTTTTGGGATTTAGCTTCCCCCATTATATTGGGTTGTTTAGAGGTTTTCGATCTCCTTTTTTCCTGATTCTCCAGCTTCCATCCTCCCTTTGTGTCGGGCCAAGAATCTTCCGCAAAATCCTCCTTTCGGCCACCAGTAACTTTTCCTCTTCCTTAAGCGTCAACGTCCATGTCTCGCATCCGTACAGTAGAATAGGACGGATGACGGTCTTGTAGATTCGGATTTTGGTTTTCAACCAAAATCCGTAAAAAAGCTTTAGCGTTAAGTAATTAAGAATTAATTATTTATCAATTGTCAAAGTCGCTTGTTAAATTTTTGTAAAGGTCGTTAGAGTTTATAGCGCCATCTAGTTTTATAGTAACGAGTTAACATGGTCTTGTTTTTTACCAAGTTATGAGGCAAGTATGAGTCAAGTTGACGTCTTGATAAATATACTCTATAAATAAATCAATATACCAAAATTGTCATAAAGTGCGTGGTCCGGATATTGGTGGCGTAAAAATGTGGCTTCCCATACATGGCAGCTACAGGATTCAATTTGGTATATATTTATAATAAAATTTAATATTGTAGGGGTTGACGTTATTCTTGTTTCATTGTTTAAAGAATGATCCTTGTATGCGGTCATCGTTTTTATAAACATTTCATTTTACGAGTACAAAATTATTTATGTCTTTATTAGGTTTTTTTATTATCTACTAAGGCCTAATATTACCTAATCCTTGGCTTAACATTACAGAAAATTATTTTAGTTTCAATATTTTAAATGGTCGCCGTCACGGGGGATTTGAAAATTGGGGGTAACCTGTCATATTTATCTATCATTATAACGGTTTTTTTATCCGCTACTCGAGTCATATAGACTCCAATATTAACTTATTTTAACTAAAATTAACTTAAAAATTAACAATACAATATAACATTTGAATGTGTACAGCAAAAAAACTACAGACCGTACTTAATATTTTCCGCTCGTCATACATACTTGGGAAGTGAAAGAAATCTTTAAAATGTAGTATAATTAGTGCGTAATCAGCTTACCAGCAAATGAGTCCAAAGAAACCTGTTAGCGGGTCAGAAGTGATACAGGTTAAATGTCCTTAAGCGAGTTAATCCAATAAGAAAAGTACAAACAATGAGTGCCCTCACTTCCGCCCGAAGACCCACAATGTTCACTTGACTCGACTTACCCCACTGTCTTACTGCCACTCGTGATTAACTTCGAACACATGTCGTCGCGAGTCTTTTGTTTACGCGTCCACTAAACACTTTTCACCCAATAAGATCCTCGTAAGTTATAAGGGACCGTACTTCCAAAATATAAATGCTAGAATTTACAGGAGATATTTCTTATAGTATCGCATTTTCTAAACAACAAATAAGTTAAATACTGTCTATAGTTTCCGCGAGAGGTACACATTGAAATAAAGCATTCTAAACGGTTTAAAACGTGATAAATTAGTTAAATTGATGAACTTGACAGTTTTAAATTTATTTAATGCGAAACGTCGCCGACGTTAATCGATTCCCATGTTTTTTTAATATATCGCGTTTTAGATAGTTAATTTAAAAATCGAAAATGATTTGGAAAAGTTTACCGCAAAATATTCGGGCAAGATTTGTACTGGCATCGTCAGCGTTCCGTGCTGTTGCTCTAAATTATATAGTGCCATAATGTGCAACAACATGTGAAACAGTATTAAAGTTTTCAAATATTAATTAACTTTTTATCTATTTTACCCGACGTTTCGTATGCTAGAAAACAGTCGTGGTTACGAAGGGGTCAGAAGATAAAGGTTGTGATAGACATTTTTAACGAATACTGTCTATAGTTTACGCGAGTAGTACACATTTAAATAAAACACTTTAACGGTTTAAAACGAAAAGATTTTTTTCTTACACATGTATGTATGTTAATCAAATATATATATTTTGCGTAGTAACCTGTTTAATTGTGATTTACTGGATATGTAGTTTGCTAAGAACATATTCAATGTGTCACTTTGTTTTGTTAACAAAGAGTGCTTCTTTGTTTTATTTGTGTTTCTTGAGTCTCACAAACGGTGAAATAATCTAAAGACCCAGTAACAAGTATCGTTTTAAGGACGGCATTGATGTAACCCTCTTTAACTATTGTAAGAAGTATTCCCTCGAGGAAAGTTTAATGAAAACAAAGTACTTTAGCAATCGAGAAACAATTCCAACGATCACGCATGAGTGGCTACAGTGCAAATATAGGCGATTGTTTTAAAAACATAATTAATTTCTTCGACCCCCCGACCAACGGAACATTTAATACCGAGTGCTCATAAACATCGCAAGAACCCTTTTCATTTAGCAACTTTTTTCGACACAAGTTCTTGTCTCTCCATCGGTCTCTTATTAAGATTCTTTGAAGACGAAGTGAGCTTGAGAGAAATGTTCAATTTGCGTTCCACGTTTACTTGCTGTACTCTTATTTTGATGAGTTACTCTTTCCTTATTTTCATTTTTTTTTTGTCGACAGATCTGGTATATGGGAGAATTGTAGAGCCGCTTACGAGGACATCGTTAAACATCTCGAAAGGTAAGTTTATATTTTTTATTATTTTTTTATCATTATTTCCTTCTCATTCTTCTTTTCTATCTATACTAATATTATAAAACTGAAAATTCTGTTTGTTTGAACCCGCTAAACTCGGGAACTGTAGGTTCGAATTGAGTTTTGTGGCGGTTAGAGAATTTATCGAGGCTTAAGGCTATAAAACACCAGGCTGCGACTAATAGGAGCTAAGTAAGAAGTAAGAGCAAAACAGTAGGAATTGTGGGAAAAATGGGGAATGTTATCATTTTTTAGGGTTTCCATTGCGTGTGAAAACGATTCGTGATACCCAAAAAATACTTATGAATTATTATTCTTTAAATAATTTGTCTAAAAAAACAGGTCCACAAGATTATATGTCTACCTTTAAAGATTTACTCTCGGTCGAAATATTTCATATGCAAAAGACGTTGCCAGCCAGTCGTGTCTAAAGCTGTAGTAGATTTGAAATGGATATCGGGGGCAGTTCATTTAAATGGAACGAAATAAAGAGGGAGTGTGAAATTAGAGGAGACAATTAGATCGTTGGATCGGGTGTATTTTTAACAAATGACCGCTCGTCGGGACGTAGGGTACGAACAATTCATCAAACTCATTCAGGGCTAATCTCGATGCGAGGAAAAAGCGGCTCTCATGTAAATTGGGCCGATCGAGGGCCATGGGGGAAAGCGCTTTTCTTTTCTTGTTTAATGGATGGTGATTGATCGGCGGTTCGCTTGAACGATACCCGCGGTTTTGACTTCATTTTCAAATGCTTCAATTGAATGTTGCAATCTGATGTTGATTGAAGAGATTTATGAGAGCCCTGGGTACTACGGTTGATATTGGCTTTTTCTTTTTGAAATGATTTTTAACTTCGCCGACGTTTCGGATGCTTTCGAAACGGCCGACCCTCCGAAGATCCGAAACGTCGGGCCGAAGTTAAAAATCTCAAATGTTTAAACTAGTTTTTTTTTTAATTTTTTCTACTATAGACAGTATTTAATCTATACTTATATATAGCTGAAGAGTTTTTTTGTTTGTTTGAACGTGCTAATCTCAAGAACTATTTTAATAATTCATCCTTGAGGGTTTTTGTTGCGGGTGCTGCGAAAACATTTCGAGATACCCAAAAAATAATCCGTGAAGGTACCTCCATGTTTTCAAATTAACTCACAATAATCGTTTTATGGGAATCAAATGTAGATCGAAATGCTTTTTAGCGGAAAATAACGTTTGCCAGGATTAGATAAAAAAAGCAAAATATACATATCAAAAATTATAATAGTGCAAATTAAAAAAATAGAACAAATATAACATGCTTTATAAAACACTTTAACGGTTTAAAACGCGGTAAGGTTTTAAACGATTAAAATATATGTTCATTGTTCATAATAAGATCCCAATGCGTCAAATGCAATAACCGTGGTCTCAGGGGACTAATAATGTTATCCTTATCTAATGTTAATCACACACAACTGGTTTTATTGTTATCGCGTTTTAAAAGGTTTTATTTTTTTGAAAAGATATTCCTCTTAATCCTTAAATATAAACAGATCCTCTTAATTAATTTAGTATATTTGAAACACAACGTATCTGTGTCCGTCCCTCGAACAGTGTTGGGTAGAATTACAGCTGGACAGGGCGCCGTGTACCGATGTGTCACTGTCAAGCCCCCAGTGTGGGGATTAGGGCCGTTTTTAAAAGAACTTTAAAGAAATTAATTCACACGCATTCTAATAACAAATTTAGCGTAGGATTTTGTGTTTCAAGTATTTACAAAATAAACCTGAAATGTTGTTCTTTCATTAATAACCACAGGAACAAATTATTAGAATTTAATGGAGCAACCTTATTTGGTATGTACCACAGTTGTGTTAACTACAAAATTATTATATTTCAATTAAATTTATTACAATTAATACACAGCTCTCTTGATAAATAGATAACAAATTGACACTTTTAAATTCTTGTAAACACAACACGCATTTCATTTTTAATATCCTCGCGACCCGGCTGCTGCAAAGAATCCAAAATGTCGTGTCGTAATTAAAAATCAATTAATATATATATTCCGTGTTTCGAACCGTTAAAAGTGTAATTTTAATTTTAATACTCGTGTAAATAAAAATAATTAATACAAGGATGTGATGATTTTTCTTTCAAATTAGGATTGATAACAGGCCCCAGTGTTATCTATACTTACATAGTGTGTGTATCTATATACAGTCTTAATTTTACCTTGGTAGAAGAAATGTTATTAAGGATTACAGTTTCAAAATTTTGACCAAATTTCTAGATTTTTCTTAAATTCCCATAACTTCAAATTGAAATAGACTTTTGTCTAAATTTTCTACAATCACCCCATTAGGCCTTAACGTTGAATTCTAAACACCCTGTATACACCGTCATAGCCTGCTAGATATGCAGTAGACCACCCACCCATCACTGTACTCATATCATTTTTCTCCACAAGAAGCAACGGCGCAGATTACTTTACCCCCTTGAGTTTCCTTGTGAGCACATTATCTCCGTTTGATTCGCGCATGCGTTCTCAACCGGTTCTCTTAAGTCCAATTAATTGACAGGATTATCTCTGATTTAATATAATTTGTAATGTTTGTTTTGTTTCCTTGGAGTGCGCTCATCTGTGCTTATTAGTTGCTTTAAACTCGCTTATCTTAAGTATTTTTATATCCGCGCTCGATCGTGTTGCCTTTGCAATCAATTAGTGCCAATCAACATAATAGTGCTTACTTTAAATTAAACATCTATGTCTCATCTAAATAAATTTTAAATTTGTATAATTTCGTCATGTAACATGTAAAAAATGTGAAATATAAGAATTGCACTCTACAAGGTTACATCTAGTAAATAAAACATTTGTAACAGTTTAAAACAAGGATTTTTTTGGTTCAATTTAATAAAATTCAATCGTATATATTCAAATCTTAATTAGTTATATTTTTTATCCTGTATCTTTAGTTATCCTACTTCGAAAGGCCGCCTTTTATTTATAAGTTAGTACATAAGTTTTTTCTCATTAATGTTTTTTTTCTGTGGTGTGTTATATAAATAACAAAGCAATAAAAAATAAATAACAATATTTTCCCTTTAATCCGTTAAGTTCTTCATTAAACATATTGATTCTTTATGGTAGATGTAACTTTATCATTGGAATTTATCCTTTTAACGCAGTCGAGAGCCAACAAGAGAGACAATTCGCAGTAAATCAAATGTCGACTCAATTAGCAGTCAACAAATCGTTGGGATTTATGCATTCGTCCGGTTTAATTCCGTTTCGGATCGAATTAGCTGCGATTAATCGGCGTGCGGCGGGTTAAGCCGGCCGGGCGGGCACACATCGCTCTGACGTCGATCGTTATTCATTCCTCTGTTCCCACTACCGGTGGTGCCTTAACCCTCGTTCGAGGGTTTTTTCCAAAAATCATTCTATAATCTAACCTTTTGTATTTTCCAAGGACCTCCTATAGTTCTATGTTCTATAACACTTGTTTAAAAATGTAACATTCGTAAGCTCTTACGATGGCTTCACCTTGAGAGGAACTATAAATGGGTATTGGGGTTCCAATGTTCCAGACCAATTCTTATAGGAATCCATCTTCTAAGCATTACGAAAACTCTTGTTAGATTTATTGTTAGTGTCTTGGTAAATAAGATTCTTAAGACGCCACAACATTGTTAAGATTGCTTTAAAGCATCTGAAGCGATCTTGTTTTAAATTATTGACAAGTGTTTATTTAGATACTGTCTATAGTTTACGCGAGTAGTACACATTTAAATAAAACACTTTAACGGTTTAAAAGGCGATATATTAGTTAAACTTATTTGAAAATGATTTTTAACTTCGGCCCGACGTTTCGGATGGTATGCAGCAGCCGTGGTCACGGGGAGACTAAAAATGGAGGATGTCTCTGACGTCAATGTAAAAAATTGCTACGCTAGCGCCATCTGTTTCGTCGAAGTTGTTATTTGGCGAAACTGGCCGGGTCCTTGCAGAATTTACTAACGGTCGCCAATAAGTTTTCGATTTACTATTTTTTATAGTGTTTCGTTTAAATATAATATTGTATAGTATCTCGTGGACGTCTGCATTGATTCGTTTTCATAAGAAATCGCCACGAAACGCGACAGTAACACTTGCGTGATTGAATCCTCCACCATTAATTTCAGTGAAGATCAAACGAAGAGCGAGGGTGATATTTATCAAGGATATTGCGAATTATTTTAATCAAATCACATTCCCTCCGTTGTAAACAAATGCTCTTGATTAATGAGACGCGCGACAGTGCTCCTCCGCTGCGATAAAACACCCGAGGAAAAGACAAAATTAATGGTCATAAAATGAACTCTTGTATCCGGAAGATAAAGATAAGGAGTGAGGATCGTCTATAATTTTTCTCTTCCCATTTGAAATATGATTGCCGCGATCGCATCTGGTGGCTGTACATTTATTCGGTAGCTTCTGTTCGGTTCTCAGCGTTGACAAGTTTCGGAGATATTTCGATTGTCATGCCGCGATGCCATTAATAATGGCGACTTTTGATTTTCAGTTGGCTAATATGCAAAGGGCGTTGTTTAAAGGGTGCCGAGTCACAGCCCTCTGAATACCTCCCGAGTTTGTCGCCGATGTGGTCGTGCTGGCATTTTATGAAGCTCTTTGTACTTTGCCCTTTTATGGTCGAAACTATTCGGATAGTTTCGTCGGTGAACCGAACTATTTATTCTATTCGCTTTGTCTTTTGTGTTTGTTTTGCGAGGATGTTGCTATTTTAAACTATTACTCTCTAAATTGTATAAACGTTAAATTTAAGATAGAAAAGCTCAGTCTTCTGGAGAAGTAAAAGAATATTTATTCAAAATGAGAACACAATGTGATTGCCTTATGGGTGGGGCGTCTAACATTGTTACACAAGTTGCAGAGTCAGCCTATATTAATCTGGATCCGGCGCCTGACAGCACAAGTCAAATTTCTCATCAAAAAT